CCCCCCCCCCCCCCCCCCCGCCATGGGCCCTCCTGCAAATCCTGCCTATCTTCTGCTCTCTATCTTCTCTGCTCTCCCCCTTCTGGAATGCGGCCTTACTGTTCACAGGTACTGAGAGATCAATGCTGGGCTCATCCTCACCAACTCTCTCTGCTCCCCAGGCTGCTCCTCCACCTTCTAGACATCAACCACATCCTTCTCCGCTCCAGCCTCAACCTTTGGCCCCAAGACCTGAGACTTGAGCCAGGTGTAGACATCTGCTGCCTTCGCCATCAAATCCTTGTTGGCTTTGTACAGGCGAATCTTCTTCAGTGTGGCTACCACATCTATGTTCTTCTGAAGGATCTGAGAGGTTACCTGCAGAGTCCCCAGCTCTTCCAGCGCATTCAGACACCTCCCCACATCTGGGTTGTCGACCTTCAGTGCAAATTTGATCTCACTGTGCAGCTTCTGCAGTCTTTCCTCTAGGGAAGGTTCTTTCTTCTTCTCCCCTTTCCTGTTCAGTGAGAGGCCTTCTGACTGCTTCCGCGTCTGCTCTACCTTCACAGGCCTGGCTAATGGCTTCTTGTCTGGCCCTCTGCTCTTCTGCCCAGACTTCCTTGCAGACTCTGAGCCTGGCAGTTGGGACTTCTTGGCCAACTTCTTCCCCTCTTTCCTAATCTCCCCCTCGGGTTCTGAGTCAGAGGAAGACTGCACCGGGCTTGCAGCTGCGCTTCTTCACAGGCTCATTGTCTTCCAGTTCTTCCCCACTACTGCCCCTCACACTCTGCCCGCTGCTTGCATAGCGCCTTCTCCTCCCCCTCTTGTTCTCAAAGTCACCTCCTGGCCTCTAGCTCACTCCTCTGTTCTTCATTGCGCCTCTTCTACTCACTGATGTGGTCCACCTCACCACCTCACCCCTGGCTGTCACTGTCACTGTCACTGTCACTGTCACTGCTACTGCTGGGGATGGAAGGTAGCCATTCTGGCTTTGGTCTCTGCCCTTGGAGCTTGGGGGTGGCTTCTCAGCTGGCTTTCTGCCTTGAGTTTTTTTTTTTTTTAACAGACACATCCGAGTCAGAGGAGGAGGATGAAGAGTACAAGGAGGATGGGGACGGCCGTTCTGAAGCCAAAGGCTCCTCCTTGGCCCCATCTGAGTCAGCTTTGGAATCTGAATCCTAGCCTGAAGGCACCTTCTTCTCTTGTCCACCTGGAGGACCCTGCTGTGGTGCCTGGGTCACTGTTTTCTTCTCCAGGGTAAAGTCTTGGTGGCTGCTGACTCATGGGCTCTTGGAATCCTCTTACGATGAGGACATAGTTGCCTGATCCTTGCACTTATCATAGGCGAACAGGCCCTTGGGTCCCGGGAAGGCCGTTGCATGTGTTCCAAAGAAAAAGATGAGGCATTTGTTGGGTGGGGGCTTCACGGCACCATCAACGATGTCTGAGA